CGAGCAAACCAATAACTAAACATAATGATTAAATTAGGGTAAGTCTTATGAAGGAAATAAGGGGTGACAGAGTGACAGATGCACTGGGAGTCATAGCATGGAGGGACTTTCTGAGGAGAACAAGAATTTCTTGGCATTTTTTTGGTAAAAACTTTTCATAAGAATAAAAAGCAGAGTTTCCTAAATGAAAAAAGTTATCATATCTTTAAAAAAATAATTTTTTAAAGCTCCAGTCCACTAGAAAAACTATCTCCCCGAGACACTCATTTCATAATTAATTCTTGCTTATTTCTTAATTTGGGTCGGCATTTCATTCATAATTAATCTCTAGACACAGCCATTTTCAGAAAGTATCCCCCCTTCGACAAAACCACTACTCCCCCCTCATTACTGCAGCTCTCCAACTGCTCAGCCCATCATCCTACTTGGCAAGAACCCTCAGAGATTAATACAGAAACTCCATACCATCGTGGCAGAGAGGAGTTGCTCTGCATTTTCCAGGCTGGCATGTGAGCCTCCTGTTTGTTGAAGAGCAATTGCCATATAGTGAACTACGGTCTCATAAGCCCATCAGAGACTGGGGGATAGGAGATCTACAGACATTCCAAACACAGAGCTAACTACCAACCGCAAAGCAGAGGAAGTGCAGTAATGCGTTCAGGCTCTAAGCCTTTGCGGAGACACCCGTCTGCCTCCATCATTATTTATCATCTGGGTCTCTAGTTACTTCGCTACCACAAGAGAGGAAAAAGAGCCATGGATTCAGCATGTACTGGCTTCAGAGGCAACCCTATATACTTTAATACACTTCTTGGCCCATAGTGTGAGCAGGCCTACCACAAAGCGAGACTAGGAAATCTGAGAAAATAAGACTCACATCTGCTTGCTAGAAAGGTTGAAAGGCCCTCAATCACCCACGTCTAGAAAGACTAGGATGCCCTCCTGTTTGCCAGAAGTGCCCGCCCTCATCCTGCACAGCCACTTCCAGCTCTCTGGGGTGCAGTTTCTCATGCCTGACATGAGGCAAGGCCAGACTTCTTAGAAAATGCATTTTGTCAGTGAGAACGACATCTATCCATTTTGTCTCTGGTCTGTTCAATGTCAAATTTCACATGTTAAATACTGTCTCATTAATAAGAAAAAGAAATACATTGGGGTTGACCAGCATGAGACAGACCAGCTCTTCAGTTCTGCAACTTAAAGATTTTATTTATTTGACAGAGAGACACAGCGACAGAGGGAACACAAGCAGAGGGAGTGGGAGAGGGAGAAGCAGGCAGGCTTCCCGCCGAGGAGGGAGCCCAATCCCAGGACCCTGGGATCATGACCTGAGCTGAAGGCAGATGCCTAAGGACTGCAACTTAAACCTACCAGGAAATTGCAGGAAAAATGGCTTCAGTGTATCTATTTTGATGGTAGGAGAAGTGGCCTCAGTCATCTAAAACAACCTCTTCAGACTAGAGCCGATCTTGTAGATCTTTTTTACACTTAAGTAACACCCCACATTTCATGAAGGATGATGACAATGTTATCAGTGAAGAAATCACTTCTGATAAAACTCTATATGGTCATGCATTGAAGTTCTTCTTTTTATGTTTTTCCTCCAAGTGTACTTTTTTTGTGGAGCACATTCTCACAGCTCTAGCAGTAGGGTGGCTTACAGAAGATTCAGGATCCAAGGTTAAAAAGCACATAGCTCTTATTCCTGAGGACTCTCATATGCATTTTCTCATGCACTTGTCACACACTTTTTGAGCACAGCATTGTTATTCCTCTTCTTCAGAGACGGATCTGGCCTCTTGCTGAGGAGCAGATAGCCGGTGTATCATAGCACTTAGATCTGCGCTCATGCCTCTCCACTAGATAAGCTGCCTAACTGTGAAGCAGAATAGCCAAATAGCTCTTTCTCCCTGTCGGATCTAAAAAGTTAGGGCTTATTATAGCTAAGATATGAAAATAGTCTGCTTGCCTGATGTGCTTCATATCATCTTTATTTATGCTTTTTTACAATCTGGGTAAAACCAGGAATCTAGAACCAACCTTAGGTCATACTGAAGAAAGGAAGAAACAACGCCTGTTGCCCAACTGTGAGTATGCAATGATACTGAAGAACACCATCATTTATAATGAGTCAGCACATGAACTTCCTGGAGCTCTTGGGGGAAGTAGAAAAGTGAATGCAGCCTGACCCCCAAGATTTTCGACAACCTGTCAGTGTCACTTCTTGCTCAACCAAAACTAATACACCACCCTCTTTCCCTGGCCTTTTGCACATCAAGTGATCTTCCGGGTTCCAGAGTTAGCTGGTGGCAGAGGCAGGCCTAGAACCCAAGTCTTCTGACTCCCAATCCCGTGCTCTTTCCAATACGCTACTGCCTGATATATGGCAGCCACCATTAACTGGATGCTTACTCAGAGCCAGGGTTAGCAGTGAATGCTTTACATGTATTATTTCATTTAATCCTCAGAATTACCAACCTACAAGGTAAATAAGGAAACAGAGGCTCAGGAAGAGGAAGCAACTTCTCCAAGACCCACTGCAGGTAAGCAACAGAACTGGGATATGGCCCAATCTCTCCAAAGCTAGGTTTCATGTCCACATCAAATCACCTTTCTCTGGTCACCAGGTTTTGTGAAAATTGCAGTGATTAAATGTGAACAACTGATATATCTGCTTACTGTTACAGTTTATTCCATCTACTTTACAAAAGCAAATCTTTAGAAAAACAGATTTCAAGAGAAAGGTGACACAGTAAATCTGCCCCTTCCTGCCTCTTTGATGCTGATTCTTGAGTTCCTCAGAATGGTGAAAACCCTTAGTTAGAGAGTGTGAATCTGCTTATGTGTTTAAGGTGGGGGGGATGATTCAGGAAAAAATAAAACATTTCTTTAAACAATGAAATTACAGTCTCCCCAATCTGGAACATCAGGTATGCCAGGTAATACTTAGGTGTTTGGATGTAGTGCCTCTGCTCCCAGACTGAGATGCACCCGAAGTGAATGGGGAGGCTCAGGCCAGTCCTGAGCTTGCACCATTCATTGCAGTCTGTATCTGTATTTTCAGTGCCCCACTTTTCATGTGTTGGGACTTAGAACATAATTCTTAAGAAACAGTGTTTTGTGATCGCTAAGAAGAAAGTCTTGTTATAATAGGTTTCTCAAAGTCGCTTGTACTTAAAGAAACTCAGGATGACATCTTGGGGTACCTAATACCACTTAGGAAGATCATTTAACATCTCCAGATTGCAGTTTTATTATTAGTAAAATGAGAGGCAATCTGAAGTCTTCTTTTTACCTCAAAAATGCAGTATTATTACTGCTAATTAGATGAAGGAGCTCTAAAACCAACTCTTCTTCATTCCTCTTTTATTCATTTGCTCCCTCCTTTTTTTGTGTTTCAGTTCTAGTTATCTGCATTCATCCCCAAACACTTTCATTCACAACTACTACCTTACAGGCTCTTACATTTATCAGTCATAGAAAACCAATTTTTGGTCACTCCAGAGAAATGCATCATCTTATTATGAATGAGAAGGCAATGCAGAGAGCATTCACATGGAATTAAGGCATATACAATCTAAGCTAAGGAGGCATAGAGTATATTAACATGATTTAATATTCTTTAGAAACCATAATGGCAGTTTCTAGTGAAGGGATTCTAAATAGTTATTAATATAAACTAAAAATGAGAGCTTCAGGGAACATCTAAATCTTTGAGCCATAATCATAAGAAGCCACTGTGTGATGACCAACATTGTTTTACTAAAGCTAACAAATGCTTTGGTTATGGCGCATTTTGTATTTTAAAAGAAGATACTTGTAAATGATATATCCTATAAGAGCTTAATAGCCAAAATATAGAGAGAACTTATACAACTCAACACCAAAACCCAAAAATAACACGATTAAAAATGAGTCGAGGACCTGAATAGATATTTTTCCAAAGAAGACATACAGATGGCCAACAGACACATGAAAAGATGCTCAACATCACCCATCACCAAGGAAATGCAAATCCAAACCGCAATGAGATATCACATTACACCTGTCAGGATGGCTAAAATAAAAAAGACAAGAAATAATAAGTGTTGGCAAGGATGAGGAGAAAAAGGAACCCTTGTGCACTGTTGGTGGGAATGGAAACTGGTACAGCCACTGTGGAAAACAGTATGGAGGTTCCTTAAAGAATTAAAAATAGAAATACCACATGATCCAGTGATTCCACTACTGGGTATTTATTTGCCCAAAGAAAATGAAAACACTAATTCAAAAGGATATATGCGCGTGCACGCGGACACACACACGTGCACGCAACTACTACACAGCCATAAAAAGGATGAGATCTTACCATTTGCAACCAACATGGATGAACCTAGAGTATATTCTGTTAAGTGAAATAAGTCAGACAGAGAAAGACAAATACCCTATGATTTCACTTATATGTGGAATCTAAAAAACAAAATGAATAAACAAACAAAAAGCCGAAAGAGACTCATAAATACAGAGAACAAACTTATGGTTGCCAGAGGGGAGGGGGAATGGAGAATGGTCAAAATGAGTGAAGGGGAGTGGGAGACACAGGCTTCCAGTTATTGAAAGAATAAGTTATGGGAATAGAAGGCACAGCATAGAGAATATAGTCAATGATACTGTAAGTGCAATGTATTGGGACAGATGGGAGCTACACTTGGGAGCATAGCATAACATACAGATTTGTCAAATCATTATGTTGTACACCTGAAACTAATGTAACAGCATGTGTCAATTTTACTTCAATAAAAAAGAAGGAAAAGATACGTATATATGGATTTTAAGTATGACACGAAGATTTTTTACTCCTCCAATTAGAAAGGTAATCAAAGATAAATTCATTCTAAAAGCTCTTTTCCACTCTCCAAAACTTTTAACATGAAAACAGTAATTAATCAATACATACATAAGTTAAAGGTCTCCCCTAGAATACTGTAGTGACAGTAAAGAAATGTGGTTTTTTATTTTACCTGGGAAGAGCAGTGATTTTCCCCCATTTCTCCACACAGAATCTTCTTGGGCCATTACTCCCTCGGAGAGAAGCAAATCCTTCATAGGGAATGCTGGATGTGCCTGTGACAAACTATTAACCCAAGAAAACAGAAGGATATGGTGAAACCAAGAAACTAGCTGCTAAGAAACACATGGTATCATTCACATGCACGGCTCTTTGGGAAGAGCAACAGGTTGCTCACTGGTGGGAAAGCCTGAAGGTTAAACTCTATGGGCGCAGAATAACCTAACACAGGAATTTGGACGAAGAGCTGGGGAATACTAAGGAAAGACAGTGCATTAAAAAGGGGAAGGGGATGCAGAGGGTTTGTAGCAGATAAAGCATCCTGTACAGCTAACCAGCTCAGAAGACTAAACTGGGTATATTTCCCATTATAGATTAATAAAGTGTCAATTAACCTAAGTCTCCTTAGCATCAGTCCCCGATCAATTTGAGGTGAATAAGTCTGAGGACCAGATCCTTGATCCAAAGGCTACTTGTAAGACTGAGCCTAAGTATACAGAAGGCTTACTCATGTTTGATATTTCTTTGACCGCAATAAACCAGCAATTGCCACGTAACTATAAACACTGCCAGAAAATAATTAGCTAGCTTTTCCAGTGTCCTTGAACTTCATTGTTATCTCAAGTTTGTGGAAAGTTAGATGGAAGAAAAGAAAGGATTCTTTATCAAAGACCTGGTTACTTCTTAAGGGATTGAAAGCCCTCTTTCTATTGCTAGGGATGTTGCCCTGCAGAGTGCCCTGGGATCTCTTCTTGAAGGGACCAATTGCCCTGAAGCCAGGTGTTTTTCCTGGGATTCTCGGACTGGAATTGGTATGTCCTCAAAATTCTAATGAAATACTTGGACTTGGTTGGGGATGTTCTGCATGCTGATGGAGCCACAGAACACACAATCAGAAGAGTCTGAAATAATGTATCTGCCATTTGCAGATAAGCATGGAGTATAATTATTGAGTACTTAGCAATTATAAAAAATATGCAATTCCAACAATAATCATATTAATTCATTAAAAAGATTAACTAGTGGCATCTTACCTGTAACAACCTTAGTCGTTGTTCATTGTTGAATCTTTCCACGGCAGCCCAGAACCACCGAATTACAATATGATTGTCATGATATCCTATCAAACCAATCAGGAAAGCCCATATTACTTTAACTTTTCTGTGTTAGGATGACATGACACCATGACATGTCAACAAAAGACCTCCAGACATAAATCATCATCTTGGATTCTTTAAAGGTTGTTTATGAATTTAAGACTAAGAAATAACACTGTAGATATAATCATATGAGTGTCAAAAGTCAAAAACAACACTAAATGAAGCGAGGGGGCCTCTATTTCCATTTAGTGGTCAGTAAATAAAACAAGTGGAGAGAAGACCAACAAAGTTGTTATTTTAACCATATCATTTCTGAAAAAGATAACTGCTGTTACTGGAAATGCTTAACTCTTTTGGTCATTCATTTAAGAAATAATTTTCAAGTATCACTATACCAAACACTGTAGTAAGCTTGGAGGTAACAGAGGCAAAGAAAACAGACCCTTACAGGGCTTCTGGTAAAGGAGAGACACACTAATCAAATAATTATGCAAATAAATACATAATTGCAAACAATTTTAAAATTACATATAATGTTCATATTTTTAAATCAAATCACTTTTATTAATAAAAAAGTAATTTTATTAATTTCTTCAACTAATAAATCCCAAATAATCATTAATTTAAATGTTATTTTTATTCCATACTTTAGTAGAATTTAATAAAATATCAAAAGTATCATCCCCGGGGTGGATTAAGGCAGTATTGTAGATTCCAAAATCTTTCAGTGAAGAAAATTTAAGTTCAGAGAGAGGGCTGATGAGGATTAAGATACAATTAGTGATCTAACCAATTAACTGACATGCACAATGTGATAAAGCCACTCTAATTCTAAGCAGAAATAAGTCCAAAGCAAAGGTGGGTAAAAACGATTTTAATTTGAATTTTTGCTCACATGTTTCAGTGGTTGCAGAATTTGGGGGGAATTTTGCCTTATTGGATCAGTGATGCTGAGTGCCCTTTGGACAAGAAAGGGATCCAAGTGAAGGGTGAACATACTTCTATTGGACACGGTGATGTATAGGCTCCACGTCCATCTGGCAGAGACTAGCTATTTGGTGCTGAGCAAATAGTTTTCTCATCTATAAAATAAGTACACTGGCTCTTTATAGCTTTTCTGACCTTATGAATTGGCCCCTTTCTGCTTCTCCTTTGCTGTTTGTGCCAAACCTTCTGGAGGAGGAAGACAGAAAATGTCTCTTCATATTCTCTATAAACAGCTGCTTTATGAACATATGGCAATTGGCAGCAAAGCTGCCTCTTCATTCAGTGCCAACTAGTTGGGTTAGCAAACAGCTGGGTATCTCACCCATTCCCCTGCCCCCCCCCCCCACTGGAGCACTGTCTTCCCAAGGATTTCATTTGGCAAGATTTACAATAACCATGGAAACGGGGACTTGATTAGACATATACAGTGAATAAAAGCTTACAGTATATAAATACAAAAATGGCTGATTTGATTAACAGCATTGCTATTAGAATCTCCTGGCGTGGAAGAGCTAATGACATTTATGGTAAGATGCGAGTTTTGTAGCATGCTGGAGAAACTGTGTTCTAGTTCATAAAAAGAGTTTGGTTAACGAAGTTATAATGACCAAGGTTGTATATGGATTATACACGGGGCCAGCTGGAAAAGACACATTGCAGCAATTGGTTTCAGAAATAGCAGCAAGAGAGACTGCAATTTAATACTGCCTTTCAGAGAAAATGGGGGAGCAAGGCCAGCCCACGGCAAGCGATGAGTTGAAAGAGCCAAGGCAAGAACAAAAGCAATTTAGCAAATGTTAAGGTATTTTTATTCTACTCTACACTTGAAAAAGTGTTTTAAAATCTGTTTCAGGGGCGCCTGGGTGGCTCAGTCATTAAGCGTCTGCCTTTGGCTCAGGTCATGATCCCAGGGTGCTGGGATCGAGTCCCGCATCGGGCTCCCTGCTCCGCGGGAAGCCTGCTTCTCCCTCTCCCGCTCCCCCTGCTTATGTTCCCTCTCTCACTGTGTCTCTCTCTGTCAAAGAAATAAAATCTTTAAAATAAAAAAATCTCTGTTTCAATGTACAGATAACTGGAGATATGTTTAGCTTTCAGTTTATTCTGCTGAGTGATTAATTCAGTGACTTCAAGTTTGTATTTTTCACTCCCAAGTTCAGAACTACTGCTAAATTTACATTCTGAGTTGAGTTAAAAACCAAAAACCAAAATCAAAACAAAACACAACTGCTCTTTGTCATAACTTTCTGAAAACTATCACCCTGCAATAAGTTTCAGAAAATGTATTCTTTCTTTGCTTAAAATTATGGAATAAAAACTTTAACTCTGGGTCATCATCAGGTCCCTTTCAAAGTGTATTGACTCAGCAATCAAATTCCAATGGCTTCAAGCGCAATTACTAATTGAAAACTTATAGTGATCTACAGAAATGCCACTTGTAAAGCTTCCCATGTGGTGAATTGTCATATAATCCAGCTTTTAACTAATCTTACAGTAGTTTCCTTTTCAGTTGAACTTAATGCTTGAATTTAGAAGGGCCTTTTCAATAAACATCTTGAATTTTGAGAACCATGTCTTATTCCATTTATGTGTCTCACATATATGAATTATAGCTGGAAATAGTTCAGTGAAATGTAGAAAAACCGTGTTTGCTCATTAGGAGGCTCAGAGGATGTGTGACTTCAAGGTTTAGAATGAAGGTAGGAGAGGTGGAGTTTGACCAGCTGGATGTGAGCTCCTTAGGGTTTCACTCACAACACCATAAAACAATTAATTAGTGTTCTTATGGTCACATTTCTTCACCAACAATTAGGAATTACGACATTCTTAGATGAGGTGTACAGTCCTTCCTCCACTTGATAGATGAGGTAACTAGGAACAGAAGAGAATGTATGTTGCCCAAGGTCTCAGAGGAGACTGCAGCAGACCTATGATTAGAATCCAAAGTGCTTTGCCTGTCCTGGATTCAGAGACTGGCAATGCTAACCACTGGCTTCCCTTAATACGAAACTTAAAAATCCAGCCATCTCTAAATCACATCTCACCTCCTCTATATTCCGTGTTGTTTCTCCAGTCACTCAGGTCGATTTCAGCTGTGCCTGCGATGACCAGTTCCAGTTCTCTTGCATCAAAAACAGACACCAGCCTGGCATCCACCACCTGTGGAATAAAAAGAATGCAGGGCACGGCTTTTGAATCAGGAGAAATCTCAGCTATAATTAAGCCTCATCAGAAAAGGAGGACACAAGGAGGTTTAGGAATATTCTGGAAGCACTCTGTATAGGCACTTGAAAACTGTAAAGCTCTCAACAAATATAAGGTATTTTTAGTACAAGATTAATATCTTTTCCTCAACACAATTTACATTTTAAAACTGACTACTGATTAATCCAGTTCGTTTTTCTCCTTGAAAAAAGATCTAGTGCTCCTCCAGAGGAAGTCACATGGAGTATTTGTAAGAACTCATTTGAACCCTCAGATACAATCATTTCACATATCAAGCATGAGGTGTGATTACCCGTATCTAAGCATGAGTAAGATGTATGACTTAAATGTTATTAGTGGTCCTTAAGTCATGAAATGCTACTTGAATTCAGATCATTTTATTTCAGTGATCTCTTGTAACAGAGCATTAAGCCTTTTTTGTGTTCTTGAAACATATAAAAAATATATTGGAGTTTTTAAATTGAAAGAGCAATAGTAAATCCAACAAAAGAAAGAGGGAAATATTGCATACAGAGTACAGTCAGATGGACTGTGGTATCACAGAAATCAGTCTGCAAAACCCTATTCCCACTGTCTTTACCTCATAGAAGCCGCGCACTAAGCTCTCTGTTTGCTGTACGACGCCCCTCTCAATCCTCCATTTCACCATCCTCTCGATGTACTCCTTCTTGTTCTTCTCTGTGACCGGGATATTGGCACCCCCTGGTTTTAATTCTCGTTCGGTAATCTGAGATTTAAAAAAAAAAAAAAAAAGGACTGAACATAAAGCAACATTCTTGATGAGATAAGAACACTGCTCCCAGTGAGCCGAAATCGGCCATCTAGGTACTTGTTGCTGCCTTGGCCCCGGGGCACATCCCACAAGCAGCAGGGGAAGGCACCCCATGGAGCCACAGGGAGCCCAGGCACACGCCGATGCTCCGGAAAAACTAGGCATGAGCTGATGTCTGAAAGCCTCAGTGGTTAAAAATCTATATATCGCAAGTGCTGAAGGTTAACTTTTAAATCCTGACTAAAAATCTTCTAAATGAAAATAAACTGGCTCCAGATTCTGGCCCACTGCTATTTGAATGTTTGGCAAAAACATATTTTCACAAATTCTGTTAGGGTTCAGAATCAACGACATATAGAAAGCCAATATTTAAGTAAAGATTTACTTTAATGAAGCAGAATTACATTCAAGTGAACGTTAAATTGAGAACTTCTTTTCCAAAACACAAAATTTAGAAGACTGGCCAAATACTAATGTCTAAATAAGAATATTACTTATGAACCAGTATACAATTTCTGAAAGAAATCTTTTAACCAACTCTTCCACCAACTTTGGAAAAAGCCAATACAATTTCAAACCTTCACCAAAACATTATTTACCTTCCCTCAGCTTCAAAATAATCAATTTCCATTCTTAAATATGAATGACAGTTAAGTACAAATGTCAATTAAATAATTTAATATTCAACTCTGGGGTAACATGGACTTTTAAAAGTTATATTTTATACAAGGCAATTCTAATATCTTATGTGGATAATTTAGTTGGAAATAAAAAGAAGATTGCTTATGACACAGAAATAGTTATATAGCTTGTAACACACAATTACCACAATCTGTAATTAGAACACCTTAGTCTGCAGTTGGCATTAAAATAATCTTTGTAACCAAAATTATTGTAACTGTACATAAACCTGGGTTGAAGCCACCAATAAGTAAGTGTATGATGTTAGCCTTCATTTTAAAACTGACCACTGATTAATCCAGTTTGTTTTTCTCCTCTTAAAAAGATCTAGTGCTCCTCCAGAGGAAGTCACATGGAATATTAATTCTTCACCAACCAATAGTCTTTAATTACCACACTTAGTCACCAGTGAGTCACATACACAGACCTGCCCAAAAACTTCTTCGTTCACAGTGAATGTAAGATCCAAGATGTCATGGATGTCATTGTCTTTCATCCACTGCAGGCTCTGGTGGAACTCTTCGTCAAGGTATTCTAGATCACTCAGGTCACACAGACTAAGATGACAAACAGATAGAAACAAATGTGTAGGTATGACTCTTAGCAAAACTCCAAAGACACAAGGAAAGATACTAAAAATTAAATACAAGTACAAGATCATCTAAATAGACAGTGATTCCTGGAATGTTCTTAGTCAAATTCAGTAACCAAACTAGCGAAATAATTCAGAAATCTGGTATAAGATTTAAAAATCTGGATACATAAAATGCCTTAAATCAACCAGCCTATACTTTCTTTTACAGACACAGAACTGGGGTGCAAAGAGTGGCTGCCACTTACCCAGTCATTCACAATTAATGCCAGAGCAGGAACTGGAACTCAGGTTGACAACTTGAGTCCCATATTATTTTGGCTATGTTATACTACCTTAAAACATCATTCTCCTAATCTGAAATTTTTTTATGTTTCTATACTGTATTTTAACTTGGTTATTTTTTCTCAAAGACTAGGTTCTGTGATCCACATTCACATGTATCTTCCTTTTTCTTTATGGTCCTTATTCTTTCCATGTTTCTAAAAACAGAAAGCCACAGAATCTCTCTACAATTATAATGGTTTTCAATACTTCTATTTTTTTTTTTTTTTATCATGGAGAGAGGTCTACATAAGGTGGAGTTACTATTGTATGGCCCTATTTTAAGGTGGTAACAATTGATTTGCTCCCATCAGCCCAATTTCAAAGGTCATTTTGTTTGGTTCTTTCTAAACATTTATTAGTATGTGCCATACATCTTTTTTTTTTTTTTTTTTTTTTATTCTTATGTGCCATACATCTTAACAGCTACTTGATAAACAGTTACTGCCCTCAAGGAGCTAGTGATCTAGCTGGGGAGACAGGTACAAAAATGGGTAAACTAATACAAGGTGATGGTGATAGCCTAGGGTGGGTAACACTTATAATTTGTGTATTTTTTATATGTATGTTACACTCCAATTAAAAAAAACATATAAGGTAGATACAGGAAGCTCTCACAGCAAGAATGCAGGATGTTAACTTCAACTTGGTGATTCAGGGAAACCTTTCTGGAGTAGATAATACCTACATCAAAATTTGTAGGCTCTTTTAAAATCTAGAGAGGTAAAGGGAAATGAATGAAGAGGAGGAGAAGGGGAAACAGAAAGAAGGGAGAAGGAGAGACAAACACGAGCAAAGCACAAGAGCATGGAGTATAAGAATACTCAAGCACACTGGCAGGATCCAAGAGTTAACTGCAAGGCAGAATTTCCAGAGAAGGCTGAAGAAGGTCGCTGGGACCAGCCTTTGAATATCATTTTAAGGATCTTGGTGCTTCAGAACTACTGAAAAATTTTAGACAGGAAATGACATGATCAGATGTGAGATGTGATTTTGAATTGTTCTTTCTGGAAGTCAGAGTATAGAGGATTACTTAAAATGGGGGGAGGGGTGGTTATCATTAGATGGTGGAGACAATTAGGTAGACCACCATAGTAATCTGGCCAAAATAAAATAAGAGTTTCATATTTAGGGCACAGCTATTAAGGGTGGACAGGAGAAGATGCACTTAAGACTTATTTAGGAGGTAAACGTGGGTATTAGTAAATGGTTTTATTGGGGGGCATAAAGAAGGATATCAAAATGGGGTGGCAAATGAACTCATGTTGCAAGCCAACTCTGATTAATTGCCAGTCTCGAGGGCTGTAAGTTGAAAAACTCCCTGAGGCCACAACGAGTTCAGTGGGAAAAAGGACCATAAACGATTTGTGAACTACACTATGGCAATGGAGTGGGAGGTAAGGAAGAGTAGACTAGGTGCTGTGTATTTGCCATCTCTGTTTGAGGGTGACTCCCGATTTCTGACCAGTGACCTGGGATACCAGCGCCATGAACTGTGCCAGTATCTCCCATGACTAGGTACACGGGAGAAGTTGCATTTCCAGGGACACCAGTGGAGGAAAGACTCAAAGTAAATGCATGGGGCTGGGGTTTGGGGCAGTCAACAGTATCAGAAGCAGCAGAATGGGCCAGTAAGATAAGGACTAAAAGATATTCTTTAAAAGCTTCTATAGGTTACTGGTGGGAAGGAAGCCAGGCTAAAGTGTGTTGAGGGCACGTCGGCACAGACTACTCTTTCAGGAAGCTTATATGAGAAGATGAGAGAAGGCAGTGAAATGGGAAGATGCAAAATGGGACCAGCAGAACCAGAGAGGCAGATGGACAGTGCCCAGATGCCCAAGGTTTCATCTGCCCAGACACCAAAAGGGAGGAAAGCAAAAAGTCTTCTTACTGAACCTCTTAAGAACCCATTAGAAATACTTTGTTTTCATTTGAAGTCTAGGCTTCCATTTTACAGAAAGCAGGTACCTGGCCTTGGTCAGGGAATAAGCTGGACTGAAATCAGCAATCATTCTGTGCTTCCTCACTGCAAGTTTGAGCTACTTACTCCCCTATCAGACAGTTGCCTTCTCCTGTTCAGCCTTGTAAATGACTACTGATTATAGGACAGAAACTGTTTGCTCTACATTTTACAATAATTGCAATCTTTCATTGCGGTAACAATGAAGAAAAAAATCTGTGAATGCTAAATTTTTATCTGCCATACTAAATTACTGTCTTGCATTTAGGGAGGTCTCAAGAAAAATATGGGAGAGCGCACCTCTAACAAACAAACAAAAAATAAGACAAAAAAACAAAGGAGAATGAAAACTTGAACCAAGGGTAAGCAGTTGAAGTCTGCATAAAGCAAAATATAAAATGCTTCCCATAAAGGATAGGGGGCTGTGAGTCACCAAGACTAACCCACAACTATTCTATTAATAATCAGCATTAATACCACAGGAATTCCAGTACCGTATTTGAAGTACAATTGTTTTGAAGAAACATGTGTTGCAACAAGTGAGAATAAAGTTTCCAGAATAAAGCAAAACTAAGACTTTAGGGGCAAGACAGAAGTAAAGGATCAGGAAAAACACAGTACCCATATTTGAAATTGTATTAGTTTCAGAAACCTAAGTAGATAAATGACATTGACAAAAGGTTCTTTTTGATAAAAGAAATATTACATTCTTACATGCTAATTACACAAGCAATAAAAATACTCTTACATTCTGAGAAGAGCTTTATAAAAGGGCCGTGTGAAGAAGGCATCCAACAAATACTGGTGTATGAGTGCAAGACCAAGAATCCTACCACTGAACCGGAACCTGTGAAGGAAAAGCACAAGATAGCTTACACGTCAGGGAGCAGTTCTAAATGGTTCTATTTGCTTTCTAGAATGCAGTCTACCTCTAATCACCTAAGTTTGTCCAAGACTAATTGCTTATTAGGTCCATGAGAGTTTGAGTGCGTTGCAACCTGTATCTTCATTAGGCCAATATTCACATCTACTTGAAAAAATCTGTTTCACTCTGATATTTAGAGAGATACTGCTCCACCTTCACCTCATGTTAATAATATCCACCATAGAGCACCCCACATGGACAACATGAATTCCCCGTGAGCATGCCTGTAAAATTTCCCCAAGCCACTTTTAAAAGATGACAGAATGAAACCAGTGGTGGTAGGGAAAATGCTGTCCCCTTCTAGTTTGTTTGCATGAATATTAGCAGGATTTCTCTAATACAAACCCAGTAGCAATTCCCCTTTTGAGGAAAAGCCCAATCTCAGAGTGAGACAGTTCCTATCTCTATTCTCTCTCAAACCCCACCACTGATGATAGTCACTATCCAAGAATTATGCATTGTGAACATGGGGGAGTTTCCTCATGGGACATTTGGTTCTCTAAAATTTGAAGGCTCAATTCTATTCTGAATCATTTTGGAAACTTTACTAAATATATCAGTCATGACTGGATTTGCTGAGAGGTACGCTTATTTTCCCTTTCAAAAATACTGCAGTTTCTACCTCTGTGAAAGTCTGATGCCTTCCAAAAGTGTAAATCCATGCTGGGATTCATACACTCCATTTGTAATTTTAGTATTAGGCAGCCATTTCAAGATTAATGTCCGGCAGCTTTGTTTTTCTTTTTTTCTACCTAACTTAGCATAACTGCAATAGATACAGTTAAGAGGACTCCAAATTGTAGCTACATGGAGTTAATTTGAAGAATAAGTCCTAAAAGTTAATGCCTTCCATCCACCAATATTAACCTTCATGACCCAAAGAAACTTTTTCCATGAGTCCTGCTTATGTTCTTTTTTTGTTGTTACTATTAGTGAAAATAAGCAGGAAAAAAGCAAACAGGGGTTATAAAGATATTTAACATGTATAAGTGCAGGGATTAAAAAAGAATGTAAGGATGTTTGGAAAGAGTGCAATTTTGGATTTTCAGAATAAATAATTCCCAGAAGGGAATCCTATACCAGCTTTCCTTGATAATTTTGTGTGAAAAATTAGGAAAGGGGCAATGCCTGGCTACAAACTTCAATGGCTAATAGGGTAAGCACCACTGCTGGGACTCCACACCCATGTCCTTCTGCCAGGGTTCTCTTCTACCATCAATTCCTCCAGGGCACACCACTCTCCACTCCCTCCTACTAGAATACCATCATCACCCTCAGCCAGTGTCACAGCTGCTCTGCCCCACCCCCCAGTGTTGGCCACTTCCCCAAGGGCTGCTCTAGAAGCTAGGACAGGACCTTCTCCCACCCCACCTCAGAGTTCAGAGATGCCCAAAGGTGTAGAGAGGGATCTAGGGATTTTGCCAGGAACCTAACATCATCTGGAACTTTCTTTCAATGGGGAAAATGTTTTGAATTCTGCCCAGTTCGCTTGAAATTGGTCTTTTGGAATATAATCTATTCCTAGCTTGGAGAATGTCCATATATTTAAATTTGACAACAAAAGTAAGAGTCAAATGAAACTGAAAATATGATTTTCTCCAAGGAAAAAAGTGTTAAAAGAAATCTGGGTTCCTATAAAAACTAATATCACAGAAAGTCAACTGAAGAAAAGTGTTGGGGAAAAAATACTTACCATTCATGGTGATTGTCTACGAAAGCAGACATGGGACTTATTTGTACTGTGTATGTATCATTGGCCGAATATTCAAATAAGCCATAATACGGGTTAAAGAGTTCTCTGGATACGAGGAAGAAAAACTCTCTGGAAGGTCCACTGTAATCCAGCCTTTAAAAAAAAAATCACAAAAAGAATAAACAGTTATTATTTTTTTCTATATATTGGGCACATTTTCTACAGAGTTCAACTTTTTTTTTTAAGATTTCTTTATTTATTTGAGAGAGAGAGAGCGTGAGCAAGGGGAGGGTCAGAAGGAGAGGAAGAGAGAGAATCTCAAGCTGACTTCCCATTAAGACAGAGCCCGCAGTAGGGCTTGATCCCACAACCCCGAGATCATGACCTGAGCTGAAATCAAAGAGTTGACACTTAGCCAGCTGAGCCACCCAGCAGCCCCCAGAGCTCAACTTTCTATAGAACACTCATTACAAGTCTAATTGCGCACATATCTGGACTATCCGGAATAAATCAAATGATCATGAGTCCTGATCTCATCCATGTTTTGACCCAGAATAGCGAAATGGACATTTACATGAAGCTTACCCAAAACTAAGCTACACATCAGATAATGGATAAAAAAGGCAATATGTCAATAATTTGCTTGTATGAATGTACATATAAAAAGGTAAATATTTTCAATGTCTGGAATGAGGTAATGGAGAAAGGAGTATATTGGGAATACTTTATTTAAACAGGGTAAAACCAGAGAGTACCAGCTACCTACATCCATGGGACATGGAGTCCTTATGGGTTTCTGAAACATTCTGAAGTGGAGGAAGAAAGAGACATTCGTGAATTGGTGAGAGGACAGGACAGATACAAGACCCCCTGGGGAGATAAGAGGCAAAAAAAAAAAAAGGTAGAATGATAGGGTTCAAGGAAAACTTTAAATTATAAAACACCAAGGAAAATTATAGACAGTAAAATGAGGGCGTCTAAATCTTCCTAAAGGTATTTGGAGAAGAGGCTGAAACTCTAGCACCTGAACTACAGTGTAAATTCCATTTAACTCACAAAGACATCAGGGTCAAAGTGAAGTGTGAGAAATGATGGTGTTAGCTTTGAGGAATGACAAGTGGCCAACAATGCTGAGAGGAAAAACACAGCAAAGAGGAGTTTGCAATAAAGCAATCTGATACGCTAAATTTAAAATGAAAACTATAAAGTCCATCTATCTCATGATGACAAGTTGACACATGTGTTCCAAGACAGGAGGGAATGCTGGAGGGGAGCAAAAGCAATGGGAAGCTGGGCGGTGGGATTTTATTAGACTTCTTTTGTTCACTGTATTGTTTTTTTCTCTTATGGATTTTCTCCATGGGCATTACTGCATATTTTTTTTAATGAAAAAGAAAGAAAAATCATCTGAGCCTTGTCCAGTGATGGGACTGTGTGATAGAGAAAAATTACCTTATTAGAAGTGGAAGAAAGGGATGGGATATTAGTAAGAAAGATAAAATGGCTTGTATAGGTCTTAGTTGAGAGTTTAATAGAATTTACTTGGAGCATACTTCCGCTGTTCATTCTACTTTGTAAACTTTTGCCGTATCTGAATATAGAGGTACTGTTATATACTTAATACTTTTCATTAAATCAACTTTAAATTTACTTGCTTTTCCAATGTAGCCTGTTCTTACATACTATTTATGAAATTAGGATGTGCTAGCTTTATTTTTTTTCTAATACACATTGAAAGAAACATGTAAATATTTTAAAATGTCAGTTTGCGTAATAGCTAAAATCATCTCACACATCTCCAGTTCTTACTGCACTGTGGGAAATATGAGTGTAGACTGGAAACCTGTGTGTGCAGAAAAATGCAAACACAGCACACTCTCAGGACCAACGAGGCCTCAAGGTGACATGACGGAAGTGCTGTCTTCAGGCAGCTGAATATAGCTGTGGCTACCTGGTGACCACTGGCCTTTGAGACAATGCTAAGATTACCCTGGGGACTCCCGAAGCAGCACAGGGGCTGCTTCCCAGGCACAAGGATGCAGGCTGCCCCCTCTGCATGCCGAGACCAGGGCAGTTGCCTGGGGCTTCCTCCCAGAGCCCTACTTCTGGCCACTGACGCCACCAAGAACAAGTAGAATATTTCTTCCACTTGAACATTCTTCACATACTTAGAGGTGTTCTTTCCACAAATATTGGAGTGCCTGTTATATTTTGAGTACTGATCTAGATGTAAAGATACAAAATTTTTTGAATAGTAAATTTCTATATGAACTCAAAGTTAAGCAGTTTCAGTATCCCTGGTCTCTGCACCCTCCTGCACTCCTGAACACTGCCACTTCTTTCAATCTCCTCTCAAGGAAGGGCTGAGAATTCCCTTGCCGCCTTGGCCCTCTGCTCTGGACACTCCCCAGGGTGTCAAAGTCTGACCTAAAGGGTGGTGTCTAATACTGATCACAACACTTCAGGTGCGGTCTTGTCAGCACAGAGCTTAGAAAGAGCCCTTGTCTTCTCTTGCTGGGCACTCTTCCCTACTAATGCAGCTTAAAGCCACCTTGCCTTGTGGGGCGGCCACTTTGTTGACTCACGGTGAGCTAGTCATCAGCTCAAACCTTTCACTGTGCTGCTTCACCCCCGTCCCCAAGACTCTCGCATCCTGTCTGCATGTCTGTATCTTTTTACAACCTGTGTACTAGACTTTATAATTCTTCCTACTAAGTTTCACTTTGTGAAATGTTGTCCACGTTCCAGTCTACCCAGATCCCTGTGGATGCAAAACATCCCTCTAAATTTACTACTGATGGTGAATTTCATCAGCAGACTCCTGTGTCTTTCCAGAAATAGAGAATGCCAGTTAAAGGCATCTTAGAAGTCATTTTGTCCATCCACTCATTTTATTGAAGAGAAGACTGAGGCTGAAGGAAAGCATGGACTTGGATCAAAAGAAAGCTGCAGGGAGACTCTAGGCCTTGACACAGGTTTCCTGACCCTATGTTTAATGCTCATTATTCCTTATGGCCTACTGGTCAGTACATTTTAAATGTTATCAAGACTGATAAAAATGTTGCTTATATAGCAGGGGTCAGCAAACTATGGCCTGTGGGCCAAACGTGGCCCATCCACTGGCTTTGTAAATAAAGTTTTATTGAAACGCAACCATGCCCATTTGTTGACATGTTGTCTGTGGCTACTTCCCTGCTCCAGTGGCAGAACTGAGGAAGTACAACAGGAAATGTATGGCCTGAAAAGCCTAAAATATTTCCTATCTGGCCCTTCACAGAAAAAGTTTGCCAAAGTAGGATAGAAGAAAGTAGGAGGAAAATGCTATTTTATTAAAATACCTGGCTTACTATAAATGCTCCTCTTTAGTGAAGATCCTTTCAAGGCAATACAATTACTACGATATCGTAGGGTGTATGCAACCTTAAGAATGGTCACAACTACTAAGTAGGAGACTGTGAGTGAGCTCTGGTCTGCAGTGGTCCCTGGCCTGCAGGGGCTTTCAGACACAATCAAGGCACACGACTGATAAGGGTCACAGCTGAAACATGAGCTGTTTTTTTTTTTTTTAAGATTTTATTTATTTATTTGACAGAGAGAGACACAGCGAGAGAGGGAACACAAGCAGGGGGAGTGGGAGAGGGAGAAGCAGGCTTCCCACAGAGCATGGAGCCCAACACAGGGCTTGATCCCAGGACTCTGGGATCATGACCTGAGCCGAAGGCAGACGCTCAATGACTGGGCCACCCAGGCGCCCCAACATGAGCCAGTTTTATGAGTCAGTTTTCCTACAAAGAGACAACTGGTATAAGTAAACAGGTTTTTAGCTGCTTAAAATGAAACTGTGGCATTCAGTTAGAAATAGCAGGTTGTCTTTGAGCTTCAATTCTCAGTGTTTTCATAATACTGCACTTGTCAGAGTGTGTTATGATAATCTGTTTAGGCTTCTGCCTCCCCTATTGGCACATCTAGGCTGTGGGCAGGAACTGTGTCTTTCTCATTTCTGTATCCCAAGTACTTTATTTTTTTTAAGATTTTATTTATTTATTTGAGAGAGAGAAAGACAGAGGGAGAGAGCACTAGCAGGGGGAGTGGCAGGGGGAGAGGCAGAGGAAGGGAGCCCGATGTGGGGCTCCATCCCAGTACCCTGGGATCATGACCTGAGCTGAAGGCAGAAGCTTAACCGACTGAGCCACCAAGGCCCCACTGTATCTCAAGGACTTTAGCCTGATACATCATAGGGGCTCAATATCTGTTGTTGAATCCATGAGTGGAGCTCTCTGATGCTCTCTAATCAACATAATTTACATTGTTATTTGACATCTAGCAGAAAGAATAATTTTGCACAAGCTTGTCTTCAGGTGCTATATTGATTCAATGACATTAGTAGGTCATGCCAATCCCTAAAAGACAACTCAATTTGTACATAGTGTCAGGATTCACTCAGCTCAGTTATACTTAGAAAGCCTGGTCTTGTCCTTTCCAGGTCTCATATCTTCTAATACGGTAAAGTTGTTAAAACAACAAAGATGGATCTCGCTGATCTGTTCTTTGTTTATGGTAAGAGTTGATTCTGGCTAAAGATAAGATGAATGTTCCCTGAAGTGTTAAACTGAAAAGTAAAACTCTTTTTTTTCCACAAGAGAGAACAAAGTTAATAATAATTCCTCAAGGAGGAAAATGGATCTTCTCTAACTGGTCAGGTTTTTATCTGCTGGTTTTTGTTGTTGTTGTTTTTTTTTTAACTCTAACAACACTGACCAGGACCATTTTTCAAGTTTGATTTGATTATAATCCAAAGCTTAGAATGCATATCTGAGATCGGGTTGTGGATTACAAATTACATATGTCCACTTACTTCAGGAAGACATGTCCTGGCAGGGTACCTCGTGCATGAGCTCCCTGTAATAATGTCTTATGAACCTCATCCATATAAATAGTTAATATGACTCAGATCACGGGGATCATTTGTTCCATTCCTGTTTGGCCAGTTAGGTTGGTTCCACAGCTAAAGGCTTGGCACGGAAGTACAGAAACTCTGGACAACGGGTGTGTAGCCACACGACAGCTGCATTTGAGGGCATTTCGGAATAAGCACAGATGTCTTTTGGGTGGCAGTGGAGTTTTGATCCCATGAAGAGCTGATAAAGCATTTT